CTACCATATATAATAATACCTTCCATTATCCCTTTTTGTGAAACCAAGATGTTCCTTTAAAGTGTTTCAAATGAGTAGTAATCTGATTTATTTGCTCAGCTTATGATTCTTCTATGGCTAGAGACACACAAGTAGCCTGAAGTTCGTATGATGGGAACATATTCACCTGCCACTCTTCATTTCCTGAAAAACTTAAAAGTTCTGTGCTTTTTTGGCATACTTCTATGCAGTATATAACACTTTACAGTCTTAAGTAGAAGAAAATACAAGCAGACTTAGAAAATAAAATTACATCAGTCTACCTAGAACAACCTGCTTGAGTGCTTTTACCGATGAGGCTCTGCAAAGTAGTTCTACTTCACCCTGGGTGAGCTCAGTTCCCTGCCTGTCACCACGGGTACCGACCCTGCCCGGCCTTGCTCGTGTCCAGGGATGTGCTTATGGTCTGTTGTTCTATCCAGTCCCTTGTGCAGTCCAGCACATAAACACCCACAGCCTGCATGCAAATTCTGTGCCCTCTGAAATACGCGGTCAAGATGCACTCACCTCGCAACCAGTGAGCAATGGGTATTGATGACAGTAGTCAAGCAGAAAGTTGTCTAGATTTTCTTTATTTAATGTCTTTAATTTCTAAATAGAACAGTTCTAGAATACCTATGTGTAAACCACGCATCATCATTCAGCTTGGAAATAACCTCCTATATACACCTTCTTTTGTGGAGCAGTGTTTCTTTCCTAGGGCTTTTCTTTCTTCACTTAACAGAGCCGATTCTGTATCAGTTAGGAATATTTCCGTATTCCTCTCCTGCTCTTGGGTTATTGATTTGGATCTTTGTAGTTCATCTTGTTCTATTTTACAGAGTAAATGAAAATCTGATAAATTACTGAAAAGATCAGGACACTGACTCCTAGAAGAAAACACAAATTGAACTACTGCTGATACAAGATAACCTAAAGCATAAAGATTAACACTGTTGACTTTATGAAAGAAAGAAAGAAATGGAGGAAATTATGCTCAAGACCTCCATGTTTGTAAGAGAATATGGGGGAATGAAACAAGCCTCTCTGCATTCCATGTACAAAGGATCCCTACTCATTAACATATATAAATGCTGATGGATAATTAAGTAATTTGGGAGACAGACCACGCATATGGGAAGCATTTATGGTATTTTATGACCCCATCCCCTGACCTATGTAATTACTGTGCTGCTGGCTAACACAGCAACATAAATCCTCTGTGAACATCTCTTTTATGAAGTCTATTTCAATTCTGAATAACTTTTCTTTTTATTTGTTGAATTGGGATCAAACTCTTAAATTCTGTTCTTCCAACCAGTTTTATTAAAGAGAAAATCCATAATAAATTTCTAAGCCACCTACAGTGTAGTACAGGAAATGGAGCCAACTTATGTATAGCAAGAACAATTCATGTCAAACCAATCAAATTTCCTTTTCTGACAGGGAAAATGGCTGAATGGCTAAAAAGAAGCAGTAGATGTGACATTTTTATTGTGGTAACATTTTTATATGTGGCATTCTTATAAACAATACTTATAGGACTATATTAGAATATATGGGTGGCATCACCTTGAGCTGGAGCAAAATTTACTGGGAAAAGGGGAGTTTAGGGAATAGCTGTTAATGATTTGCTCTGGGAGTGGAGGTCACCAGAAGCTGCCCTGGGGCCTAGCCACTATGTTCATGTAGGCTCCCAGCATTTGAAAGAGAAAGGGGAACTGGCCCCAGGCAATTTGGAGGCTAGTCCCAGGATCATCCTGAGAAACTGGAAGCGTAGTCCAAGACTGGAAAAGCTGAGCTTTGAAGCTGAGTAATAACAAAAGTCCTGTATCTGGGAAAAGGAAATTAGGTGCACCACTACAAAATGAGAATAACCCTCTGCGCAGCACTGCATTTAAAAATGGGACTTGTATAACTTCCTAAACCCTTCCATGCGCTGACACTGTGAATCACACATACTTTAGATAATACCAGTAATAAACATCCAATTTCTCAGAAAGTCCTCCTCGTCTGAGATGACTTCAACTCATGCTTTCCAATAAGGAATTTCTCAGCTTTTACAATTGAAGTACCTGAGCTGACTCTTTAAACAGGGATTAAAAAATGAAAGATGGTACAAACTTCTAATAGTGGAGAAAGGGGACAAAACCCTGACCCCTGCACCCAGTGCAGAAGGACAGGATGTGCCCCTGAAGACAAGAAGTGTCTAGAAACTATTAGGTTAGCTAGGCTAGGAACTGACAACGTGATAGGGACGTTTCAAACCCAGAGACAGGAACCAGGGTACAAGTTAGGAAAACATTTCATTGCTTGCAGGTACTTAAACGCTTTCCTGAATAGATGGAAACTGTTGTTTCCTGAGTTAGGGGTTATAATCTAAGGTTGTTGTTGTGATTCCAGGTCTAAATGATAGCAAGCTGGTATAAGATGAAGGTCTAAACATGGATTTAGATGCTTAAAGAGCTTTGAAAACCTGAACATAGAAGAGGAAATCATTTTCTTTATTAAGTATGTAAGTATAGATAGGAACAGTATATAAAGCTCATAGACTGCTCTCATTCTTGACTGTGATCCTCCATGGAAAAACCAGACTTCAGCTGGAGTAAAATAGTGGCATACCGAGCCAGTTAAGGTCAATTGTCAGGAGCCATTCCTGCAGTCTTAAATGCTTTCTGCAGTATACTCAAGTGTATGCCCCTTTCTCTTCACTACTACCTTGCAGCATTAGTTCTTGCCAAGCCTACATCCTGCTTACCTGCTCACAAACGTTTTGTGGTACTTGGAGATGGAGCACTACACTGGAGTATTAACTTAAATGCCATCTGACTTAAATAATATCACAAGTAACACACGTGCCAACTGACAGTCTGGTGAGTCGGTGGGATACAGCAACTGTCCCTCCATCCCTACGCTTTGGCCAACTCATGAGCTTCCCTTCAAGATGCACTCCTACCACCTCACCCAAACCATGCACGTGGCTTTTGGGCTTCTGTACAGCTGGAGAAGATGATTCTCTATGAACACAAGGAGTTTCTGCCACCTGTAGTGTAAGTGTAGGCAAGTGAGAGGGACAAGCTATGATGCCAGTGGCTGGCTAAGGTAGAGATAGCCATGCTAGTGTTCAGCTCTTCCATCACAGAGCTCAACTCACTGCTCAGCTTAACTGTTCTGCCAGTTTGGGCATCTCTGTGCCACACTATGGAATTATGATATTCCATATGCTGTGGAACTGTGGAATGTGACCACAGCCATGCCAGTCACAATCATCACTAAGCAGCTCTGCTGTTAAACATGTCTAAGCCCTGAGCTGTACCCCATGGACAGGGAGATGGCAGCAGTTTGTGGCTAACACAGAATCAAGACCCATTAAAGGGTCTTGCACGTGGAAACTGGCCTGGTCCTGTGCTAAATGTGCCACAGGGCTAAAAAAGGGGAGTAGTTTCCAAATGGTCAGTCCAGCACCATTCCCGAGCTTTACACCCACTTTAAACCATCATGTAGTTTTAAGATCAATAGTACAGATGAAGATACCCTTACAAAGAACATATAAGGTACATTTTACGCTGTTTTGATGCAACCCATAGAAGTTCCTGCTCTGCAAGATCCAGCTGACATTTCTTATTGCTGTAACTAGTTCAGCTCTACCTGTTCAAAGCTAATGTTTTTATCCTTCATCATCCTTTGGAAAAACAATTCTGCAGGACAAGAACTCGTCTTAAGCCTTTGGCGCTCATGCTAGGGAGAACTTGAGAGACGAGACAAGTGGTGTGATCTCTCTCAGCACTAAGAGCTATATCATTGACCCAGATATCCCTGTAAATGACAGTCCTCTTGGACATTATGTGCCCTCACAGTGTTTCTAAAATCCTGCAGATGTTTAAATGAAGGCTTTTATCTCCTGCAATCACAAGTATTAACATACACAACGCTGACACAAAGACACTGGATAAAGTGGTTATTTTTAGCACTTCCGCACGTCATAAAGCAGTACAATAGCCATGATGCTACAAATAACTCACTATGAACTCTTCTTAGAAGCAAACAGAGGAAGTATAACTTTAGGAAGAGACAAGGAGATCAGAGTAGACAATGTATTAAAATACTAGGTTTAGTACAGTAAGGGAAAAAAGATATAAATATTAGCTTTACTTTGGGTCAGTAAAAATATCACCAAGACTTTATTCCATAGGTCAGTTTGAACCTCGGCAGAAATGCCTGGCACTTACTAACCACCAGTGAGTCCAACTTTGGTCTAAGATACAACGCTACAGAAGCAGTGAACTCTTAAATTTGTGAGCAACTTCCTGACTTTTGGAAAGACATTTATTTATACTATCACAAAAGTGTGGTTAGTTGGATGATGTATTTTTTGTCTGAGGCTCCCGCTATATGATTGTGTGGTTTCAGGAAAGTGTTTTAACCTTTCTCTTCTGGAATATGACACGTTCTGTCGGTGAAGAAGCAGTTAAGTCACAGCAGAGTTTGATACTGCTGGCCACAAGTTGGCCTTGTGGGTTTTCCTCCACTTTGTAGGACAAATTGAAGAGCTTTAATAAGAAGTGAAGGGTCGACCACCTGATTACAGCTGGCTTTGTACGTGTGACCCAACTAGCAGGGAATGACTGAGTTGCTTAGGTAAGGTGAGAAAAGTGTGTGGAAATGGTTTCTGAAGGAACGTCAGCAATTTCTTCTGAGGCTTTCATGAAGCATTACTACGTTGAGTCCTACTGCCGTGTGTTTGAGGAGTAGCTTCAGCTCTCTGTAGATCAGCATCCTTATTTTGATCTAGCTTCCACTAGCACAGCCCAGTTCTGTTATGGATCCCTACCAAGAAAATTGATAAGTAGCTTCTAATTTCTCTCTGGCTCCCTTTTACATCTATTTGATGACACTTAATAAGCTACAACCAGTGATTTTCAAGGTAACTTGTGTTCCAATACTGTGATTGTATAGGCATTTTTTGAGGGACTCAGCCTTACCTGTAGTGCTGCAGTTCTGATTCCAGCTGCTGGATGTATACTTGCAGATGTGGCACCTCGTTGGCTTTCACTTCCAGCTCCTTCACTTTGCCAAGACTGTTAAGGACAGCGTGTCTTGCCTCTTCCACCTTCTTCCTCATTTCTGCTTGTTCCCTCTTCAGGTTACGGTTGCAGTCCTCCAGACTGACCAGAGCTTCCTGAGAGCTCTTCAGCTCTCTTTCCAGTTCCTGATTGAACCTAATTGCTTCTTCTATTTGCCCGTCCCTGGAGCTCCGGATGAGTTCCACTTCCTTCAGTACACTCTGAAGGCACTTGGTCTGGGAGTGGTTCTGCATTAGCGGTCTCTTGCACCCTACAAAACAGGTCCCCTCTTCCTTATGGTTAGTGTGGCTCTTCCGCAGTCCTACCTGTAATAACAGGAGCAGAAAGCAGGGGGAAATGAATGTGTTTTAAAGCATCATTTTAATCAGGACTGAAAATGGCTGGATTGTGTTTTGTTGTTTGCTTTGGTTTTTCTTTAATGACATAGAGTTGATCAGCAACTGATAAGCTACTTACCCTTGTGAAATACAGAGAAAAGGAAACAATCTCTGGACAGTAGCTTTTTAAATACGTATCTATACATTCCATTTTAAACCTACTCCTAAAGAGGAAAATTAAGTTATTGCACAGGTTTCTGTGTATCTTTAAATGCCATTACTATAGTCTGGCCTCAAAAGGCAAGTAGTATTCTGCAAAACATATTTCCCATTATGTTTCTTAAGTTGTGTTGAGTAATGCTGAGCAGAGAGCAGCTGGTGGTAGCTCTCATCTTTGTCCTTCTGGTTCTTTCTGGGTTCTTTGACTGGTGACTTCATGTTCACTTCTGCCTTCCTTTCACTTTTCACATGAAAAGGGTAAATTGGCTTTCACCTCCTGTGCTGGGCACTGCGAAGATGGACAGCAGGTAATGCAAGCAGCACAGAGCTCTGCGTGGGTTGTGCTGGTATGAAATCCACCCTCATCCCAACTATGGTTATGCTATGTCATGCCACAGTAATTCAACTTCTGTTAAGTATGTGTGTGTTTGTGTTTCACTATGTACGTGTTTCACTTCAGCTGATACAACAGAAACAGAAACTAGCACCAGAATGCCTGGGGCTCTGCAGAGGAGCCAGAGCCTGTTCATCAGGCCATGTGCAGAACTGGCTCCAGCTCTGAGCTCTTATGACCATGCTCTGGAGAAAACACACACCTTGTGTTTCTGAGGCAAAGCTCTTGGGTGTTTCTGACTGTGCTGTTGCATGTGTCTGTGCAGGTTAAGAATCCAGAAGTTCTTACTTTGGGAAAAAGCCCACAGTGGTGCATAACTGGTGAATAAGTGACTGCCTGTGCAACAGGAAAAGCGGCATTATACACTTAGGTTTGTTAAACTGAGGTCTTCCGCAATTTTAGCAGGGTGGTTCTCAGCGCATCCCTTAAATATACATTTAAGGATATACATATAGATATTTATACTTAGGCCAGGTTGGACAGGGCTTGGAATAACCTGCTCTAGTGGAAGATGTCCCAGCCTGTAGCAGGGGGTTGGAACTCGATGAGCTTCAAGGTACCTTCCAACACAAACCAGTCTGTGATTCTATGTTATTTAACAGAGAGATATATATATGTATGTATTCTGCTGGTGAAAATACAGCGTTTCTCCTTAAAGCCTCTCTGTAACCAAACTTAGCTAAGAAGTTAATGCCGAGGATGAGAGGGTCGCCTAGGTCTGTGCCATACCCCTCTTAAAGCCAGCCTGGAGTGG